TGTGCTGGTAGACTTCACACTTTTCCAGCAAATCTCACTGTCAGAGCAAGCATCAAAGTGAGCTCCACAGCTTGGAATGAAAAAGCAAAACGCCGAGATAGGGGTGACCTCATGTTTTTGCCCATGAAATGAAGCTGGGATAGGGAACAAGCCCCATCAGAGGAAAGAGAGAAAGAAGTATAAGATCAGTTGCCTTCCAGGTAGAGTTCTGATTTTTAGTTGCTTTTGTTATCTCAGAGTTCTATCCCTCCATACTGGCTCACACTGTTTTCTTTCTGCACCTTTTGCTGACAAACAGTTGTGTATTTCAGTGTCTTCATGGTTCATCTTTTTATTAAGTCCTTCTTTATCTGCAGAAGAAAAGAAAATATCCCTACTTGGAGCTGAGAGGAAATGGATTTCTGGTTACCCTGGGCCAAGTCAAGTCTTCCTGCTCTGTGTATCCAGAGCACCTGGGGGTCCCCATAATAGCAAACACTTCAAGTCATAGAAATCACTAATTCAGTTGTCTCTCTTCCTCACTCTGGGCTCATAGAGGGCTGGGATCCTCTCTGGATTGGTCAGTGCCTGGCACCAAGTAGTACCCCAAACGCAGTCATTGAATGGATGGTTGGATGGGTAAGTGGATGGATGGATGGATGGATGGGTGGGTGGGTGGGTGGATGGATGGATGAGTGGATGGGTAGATGGGTCAGTGGGTGGTGGGTGGGTGGATGGATAAAAGGATGAAAGGGTGGGTGAGTGAGCAGGTGTCTGGATGGATGGATGGATGAGAGGATGGGTGGGTGAGTGGGCAGGTGGATGGGTACGTGGATGGATGGATGGATGGATGGATGGGTGGGTGGGTGGATAGATGGTTGAAGATCATTGTTCATCTTATCACAGTAGTCATTAAAATCGACAGTAGCCCATTAACTCATGCCTACTGCTGTGATCACCGATATAATTGCTGCTAACGATTCTCATAGCTTGCTTATACTGTCAGAGACATAATTATCAGTGCCTGTAAGCCACGCCACAGGTAGCACAGGGACAGATAGAAAACAGCACCTCGGGTTTAGAAAGTCCCTTGTGGTTTGCCAAGCACTTTCGTTCACATATGGCACTTCATTTAAGTGTCATAAGAACCTCATGAGGAGATTCACCAGGGGAAGAACAAAAGAGTCCTGATTAAGAGTGTGTCTCTGGCATTTCTCCCCAGAAGGGGAGAAGAAAAGCAAAGCACACTGCCATGTGTGTACCTACGCAACTGTCTTGCATGCTCTGCTCATGTACCCCAAAACCTAAAATCCAATAAAAAATTTAAAAAAAAAAAAAAAAAAAGAGTGTGTCTCTGGACCCAGACTGCCTAGGTTCAAATCTCAGCTCTACCACTCACTAGTCATGATCTTGAGCAATTTTCTTCATCTCTCTTGGCCTCAGTTTCCTCATATTTTCTATGGGATAATAAGATTTCATAAAGTGGTTTTACGGATTGACAATAATAATTGCAATAATTTGAGTTCTTACTATGTTCTGGGCTTTGTTCTAAGTATTTTAAATGAAATAACTTGTTTAAGCTTCATAACACCTATGAGGTAGACTCTTCTTATTCCCCTCTTCTTTTTATTAAGATAATGAAATCAAAGTTAATTTCCTTCCCATTCAGCTGGGAGATGAAGGAGCCAGAATTGGAACTCAGAATTGGTGGTTTCTGGAGCCCTATGCATAATCCCTTGCACCATCTCTGAGATAGCTGTTTCTGTAAAGCACTCAGAGTCCTTGGTGCCTAATAAGTGCTCAATAAATGCTTATCACGTGGCAGTCATGCAATGTTATATATCAGTAGCCCCAAATTATAGATGCTTAAGCTAAGCCAGAGAAGCCAGGCAACTAGCTCAGAATCACAGGTGATTTCTACTGCGCCAGTAAATTTAGTGCGGGTGTGGAGTGGTAAATGTTCACTGCCTTTGCCTTCACCAGATCCAGGCTTGTTATGTAAGTGTCAAGGACTGAGGCCCCCTGGGGCTCCAGGTCAGCCCCAAGTTCCTTCTGGACAGAGTCTGCATCTCCTCATCTCAGCATCTCAGCTCTTGTCCCTGAGAAAGTAAAGCCTATTCTGGAAAGTTCTTTGTCAAATCCCCTCCCCAGCACTTGCCCCCCTCCCACCCAGCAGGGGTTCAACCTTCCCCCAGCATCTGAGACCGTCTCTCCTAGAAGCCTCAACCACTGCATTGGCCTGAAGGAGCCCTGACCTCATTTCCTTCCTTCTGCCCCACCTGTAGCCCGTTTGCCTCATTCTATCCTTGTCTTCCTCCAGCCATTTGGTTTTTCTCTACCCAGCTTCCTAAATATACACAAAATGCATTTACACTGAGCAGGCAGCAGGAAGAGCACTGCTTAAAGCAAAAGCCCCCACCTGCTCCTTGCACTGGGCCTTGTGCCTCATCCAACCCTGAATGAGGGCCCACATGTTCTCAGAGGTCTCTCCTTGCCTCCTGTGGCTGGCCATAGACTGGGGAGGGAGCTGTGTTGAGGCTCTGCACTAGCTTGTAGCAGGAGGAGGAGAGCATTGAACCCAAATCGCAAATACCAACACTATCCTCAGAGAGGTGTAGAATCCTAGACCAGCACCCTATCAGCCCCTTCTTACTGGGTGGTGGGAAAGAGTCCAAAGTTGAAGGTTTAAAAGATCTTCCACTTCCTGGGACCTTCCCACTGTGTGACCTTGGGCAAATGACTTCACCCCTCTGAGCCTCATTCTCTTGGTCTATAAAATGGAGATACTTATAGTATCCACTTCACAGGGTTGTAGAGAATGAGGTAGTATCTATTTGCTTTTCATTCATTCATTTATTCATTTAACAATTATTTACTAGGTATCTACAAGGAACTAAGTGCTTTTCTAGCCAGAGCAGCACACAAAACCTACTAACCCCACCCTCCTAGAATTTACCTTGGATGGATGATACAGAACTCATCCCACAGCTCCTGGTACATAGTAGATGCTTAAGAAATGTCAGAAGAGTATTGTCGTTTTTTTATTCACATTCTTGGTCCCTGCCTCACCTTCTCCTCCCAGGAATACATTGTTGGGGTCAAAACTCATGGATTCTGTGGATGGCGTGTGTTCCATCCATGGCCAAGGAGCATGGCCTCTCTTGCGTATTGTAGGTAGGAGCACCAGGCGTGCAGTTTCTTTGGTGTCTTCTGTCTTCATGTCTCTTCTCGAGGCATCACATGCATTTTATGTTCTATTCCATAAGACACTTGTTGGTCCCAGTGTAAAAATAATCTTCCTATTGCATTCCTGAGTAAAAGTTTCCCTTGTGTAAGACATATAAGTTTCTCCTGTGCCTCCAGCACCCTGTGACCCAGGGCCGGAAAGCCCCAAATCCAGAAACACACCGGATTTGAATACAGTTTAAAATTAGTTCTCAGTAAAGTGGGAGGTAGTCAGGGGTGGGGGTAGGGGAGAGTGACTGTTTTGCCAATTTACGGATAAGTGAACCAAGGCTCCAAAAAATGAAGGAACTTGCCCAGGGTCCCACAACCAGGATTTGAACCCAAATCACTCCGAGGCCAGATCCTGTGTTCTTAGCAGCTGCCTGGAACAGTCCACCTTCCCACACGGCTCTTCGGAGACAAAGGCAGGAGCGCCCCCTAGGGGAGGGGAGGAGCCCTGGCCTGGGAGCCGGGAGACCGTCTCCCTTTGCGCTCCTCAGCACTCTGGCTCCCTGCGGCTCTGGACAAGTGCTTTTCCCTCTCTGAGCTTCAGCTTCCCCTCTGGGAAAGTGAATTACCTCTAGAATGCCTCCAGCTCTCAAAGGTGTGAAAGACGAAAGGGTTGTGAAAGAGATAAAGCAAAGGAGGAGTTGAAGCTGGGAAGGGTGTCAGTCCTGCCTTCCTTCCCTCACCCTTTCCCCTCACTGTCCTGGGCCCAGGATGGCCAGCTGTCCATGGCCGCTGGGCGGGGCCGAACCGTGTGCCAGGCCCAGCCGAGCTCAGCTGGGGCCCTTTGTCACCCAACGCTTGCTGGGGCCTCGGCCTCCGGTGTTGGGTGTCGGGGAGGATTGGATTCTCTCCTGGCAGCCCCACAGATGCCGCACTCCTGCAAGGGTGGCCGGGCGGGCGGGCAGGGAGAAGCCGGGGCTCCCTCCTCTTCCTCCTCAGCTCCCGAGAGGGACTGGCTGCCGCTGTCCGTGGTGCTGGTCTATAGGACCACACCCCCACCCCACTCCAGGTGAGGGCTCCATGGACCTGAACTAATACTGGGACCAAGCTCTGGGCTCAATGACATTCTTGTGAATATGCATGAGCTGGTTTCTCTGGCCAGGCTGAGGGCCTCGATTAATACGGTGGGGGCCTGTGGGTGCAGGTGGAGGGCTTTCTCCCATCCCCATGCCTGTGAGACCCGAGTGGGGAGGGATGTGGGAGAAGAGTGTATTGATGGGCACAGGTGGCATGGGGGGAGGACTTGGGGGGAGCTTGGGAACAATGTATTTGGGGGAGAGTATCCCAGATTGTGTGGGCATGAGGCATGTGTAAACATGTCAAGGATAGTGAGAGAAGGAGGGAAATGGAGTCTGGGTGTGCTCAGAGGGCCTGTTAGCACAGCAATTCTTGAGGGAAAAGGGTGGGGCTCAAAGCTGGTGTGTGGGGTCTGGGTGTTGGTGTGTGTGTGGCAGTGGCGTAGGGCCCAAGGACATGCCAGAAGGTATGTGTGGGGGATGTGTGTACACACGGGTGTGTGCTGTGAAGCCAGTGTGTTCCACAGCACAGTGCACAAATAGGGAGTTAACGTGTTATCACACTATGCCTTGAGGGTGGCATATCGTGGAGTGCTGGGTTGACACTAGGACGATTGGATTTGCAGTGTGAGCTGGTATGTTAGGGTGTGTGTGTGTGTGTAGTCAGTATTGTTTGGGTTGCTGTGTGTGTGCCTGGGGCCTTCCTGAGCACCTGTCCCATGTGGCCTCCAGTGCCTGGCCTTTGTCACTCACTTTGTGCTTGTCCCACAGGAGCCACCACCTCTGACCATGTAGATGCCAGCTCCAGAGAGCAGCATGGGCCCCACTGAATGGAGACTCCTGGGTCTACAGCCCTGAGCCCCTCTGGCCCCTGGACCTCGTCCCACACCCAGGGACATCCCTTGGAGCTCACCACTGCTGTCACCAGCCGGCCTCGGCCACCCCCACCCCCCAGGACTGGGAGTCGGCCACCTGGTGCCACAGCTGACCAGTGAGGGTGTGCTGAGGACAGCCACAAACAGCCATCACCTGGCAGCCTCTTGTCCAGCGCTGACCCTTGGGCCGACCCCGAGCAGGGACTGCAGCAAACATGGGTGACATGACCAACAGCGACTTTTACTCCAAAAACCAAAGAAATGAGTCGAGCCATGGGGGCGAGTTCGGGTGCACAATGGAGGAGCTCCGCTCACTCATGGAGCTTCGGGGCACTGAGGCTGTGGTCAAGATCAAGGAGACTTATGGGGACACTGAAGCCATCTGCCGGCGCCTCAAAACCTCACCTGTTGAAGGTAAGTGTTCAAGACTTGAACCCAGGGCTGCAGCCTAGATGGCCACCATCTGAAGTGGCCACAGGGGCCATATTCATAATACATAACAGCAGGGATGTTTCAGAAAAAGGCTGAAATGCCAGAATGGCCATTGTAATATATTCTAGCTGAGTGTAAGCCCCTCTGGAAAGGCCGGGGAACAAAGCCTCATCACTGGCTGGGCATGACCCAAGCCACCTGCAGATAGAACAGCAGGAAGAGAGGTGGGTCAAGACTGTATTCTGGAGACAAGGGACCCCATAGCCGCAAAGCGGCAGGTTCCACATTCTGTAAATATGGGAGGCACAAGTCTGAGGCAGAGGCAGAAGGGCCACTGGGTGGGACCAGCATGGGACCTGCACCCAGGCCCAGGAGGGGCTTCTGCTTTCCCCACTTATTCCACAGTGGTTGGCTTTGAGGTTCCAACCACCCAGGCCCAGTTCTTCCTTCTCCAAGCCCCAGGAATTCTCTAGAGTGGGCTTGAGTGTAGAACTGTAGCACCACCAACATGCAGCCAATCCTCTGCCGCTGGGCTGGAATCAAGTCTCTCTGCCAAATCCAGACTCTGGTTGGGGATTGCTGGGGCTCTGGGGCATCACGGCTGTAGAGTTGCTGGATAGACAAAGCAGTAGGAAGATGGCTGTGACGGGAAGCATGACAGATGTCCTTGTGTGTCCTGTCCTGAGGGTGGAGTGGGGCTTTCTTGCACCTGCCAAAATTGAACAGGCCTGGGATCTCTAGAGAGAGTGTTTCAGTTCCTGGGGGCTTTTCTGGAGGGGCCCAAAGCTAGGTCCTCTGCCCCAAAACAGAGGCAAGGGAAGCCAGCCTAGCTTGGGCACCAGAGCTCATGGTTTGGGTGACCTGCCACAAGTTACCTTCTGCTCACCACGGAAAGGAAGCATTTCCTACGTAAACCCTACAGGCATATGTGTGAAGCTCTGCGCTGACACTCTCAACCCTGCAAGTTTGTGCAAGGCTGCACAGGTTTCTTCTCCTGGAAAATGGGCCAATGCCTGCCTGACAATGCCTAGTGCAGGACTAGGCATTCAGTAGTGCTCAAAGTGGCAGCCATGACTGTTCTAAGGAGAAGTGGGAGCCTGTCTCCTCTCTCCATTCCTCTGAGCCCCAGGCCCTGCTGGACTCCAGCCCTGGGAGCATTTCCTGCAGGGGCTACTGGGTTCCACCAGGGCTTACCTGACAGTCCAGGAATCACGTGTGCCTACACTCCACTGCACCCAGTAACTCCCAGCTGTCTGTGTCCCTCTTTGTCTGCTCTCCTGGGTCAGAAAGAAAAGCTAAAACTGGTTCTTCTTCCCACATTGACTATTCTTACTGACATTTTGTCCATGAGCCGAGCCAAGGCAGAAGTTTAGAAATAAGTTTTCTCACTCAGTGCTATTTGTTTTGTTTTGGTGGGGAGGGTGGGAATAGAGGATGTTACCTTTCCTCATAGTACAATTCTGGTGTGGGGTTTAAAAACAGCTGCATTTGGCCCTAAAATGGGCATAGGCTTTGCTTGGAGAGTTCTGGGTCCCAGCCTCTTGTGGTTACTTATCCCTGGCAGAAGGGTCCATGCTCCCCTCCACCATCAGGTTGGCATACAAGGACTGCTGGTAGGCAAGGTTGTTCAAGTGATCTTTGCCTGTTGATTAGGGACTGAGAGATTGCCTTGAATCAGGAATCTTAAATGTCTCTGGGCCCCAGTCCCTGGGGAGAAGCTAATGGGCACTGTGACCCCTCTCTCCAGAAAATCAGCCAACCACATGCAAGAGGTGTGGCTCACACTATTTGTGGGTTTCCAGACTCCCTAGAAGTGGGATGTGGACCCTAGTTAAGAAAACTACCCTCCCCTCCCACCAGAAAGGCTTCCCAGAGCTGGGAAATTGGGCAGCACATGACCAAGTTCCAGTACCCTTCTAGAGCCATTTCTGGCTGGCTCCTGGGAACCCACTCTGTACTGCTGGGGGGCATTGCCCACCTGAGGCAGGAACTCTGTCTGCTCTGTCTGTATATCCTGTACCCAACCTGGTACCTGGAACAGTGGAGGGCCCAGTAAAACCCTGAGACACAGCTACTAAGTCCCAGCCTAAGGTGGGGGAACTCTCAGACAGCTAAGCAACCCAGACTGCAGATAATCAAGACCAAGTGCAGCAAGGGCCCCAGGACCCAGCAGTGGTGAATCAGCTGGGCAGTGAAGGTCAGAGAAGCCTTCCTGAAGGAGGTGTTTGGACTTGGCTATGGAGGAAAGAGAAGGGAAAGCCCATGTAGTATGGCCTACAGCAGCGTTTCTTAGAGGGAACTCCACAGAATAACTGGTATGCTGTAAGAAGTGAGGCTTTAGGTGAAAACTAAAGAACTCTGTTTCCTCATCTGTGAAATGGAAACAATAATGACATCTCTCGTGCTCTGTGCCTGCCAGCCATGTGCCTTTGGGCCTTTTTGTCTGACCTCTCTGAGACTTGGTCTCCTGATTGTTCATGAGAACCAAATGAGATCTCTGATGGGCAAGATCTCTGAGGAGAGGGAAAGCCCATCATAGGATTCCCTGGAGCTCCTGACACATTGGTCCCTAGAAGTATCTCCCAGGGGGCTGGGAGGGGCAGGGCTGGGAGAGATTTGGGGAGGGGCAGAAGAGCATAATGCCACAGACCCAAACTTGGACATCCCGGGTTCAAATCTCAGGTCTACCACTTACCTGCTGTGGGACTCTGGGCAAGTTACTTAAACTCTTTGTGCCCCCATTTCCTCATCTGTAAATCAGGGTTAGTAATAGTGACTACCTCACAGGGCTGGGGGAGAACAAAATGAAGTAGCTTAGAACAGTCCCTGACACACAGGTAGTTCTTTGTGGTGAGATCCAGCCCCAGAGACTAAACACCTCCATTTCCCCATCGATAAAATGGGCTGTGAATATTGAATAAGATTAGATCCAGTGCCCAGCATCAAGGTGCTCAATCAATGTCAGTTCTTAGTATTGTTTTCATTATGAGGATCATCGCTGGGGGGAAATGTGGGCACGTTCTCCGGAAACCGTGGAATGGTGGCCAATGTCCACACATCAGAAATACTTTGTACAAGGCTGTTATGCATTTCTGTGACATGTGCTCCTGGAAACAGGTGCTGTTATCCCATTTTATGGAGGAGGGTATGAGGGCTCGAGGTAACTGCCACAGTTCATGTCAGAGCAGGCTGTGAACACAGCCCCATACTCAGACCTGAGCCAAGCATGGCCACCTGGGAACAGTCCTCTGGCATCCACTGTAGGACAATGACTGAATAGGGTGGGGCCAAGGGACACTTCCTTTACTCTGTCTCATGAGGAGCATTTGTCCCACCCTACTTGGCCGTCTTTTGATTTAGAGAAATGCTTGGCCCAGCCCCAGCCCCAGCCCCAATTTAAAAGCTCCATGGTCTAGGCTGTGCCAGCTCCAGACACAGGGACTTAGGTTGGCCATTCCTGACACCCCCTGCCCCCAATCTGCTGATGTGAGCAGGGAGCTGGCCTCTGAGTCACACTATAGGAAACGCTCCAGGCCATGCATAAATTAGCCTTCCCATTCAAATCCAGCTAATTTTAGGCAAAAAGATCTCTGCAAGTGACAAATGGGGTTTGAGGCCACAGGGAATCTGTGCTCACCCAGGGCACCAGCAGCAGCCAGCTCAGGGTGTGGCTCAGCTCCCACAGCCCGGCACTACTGGACGTCCCACCTGGAGACCCAACTTTGGTGACACCTGTTGGGTAAACCTGCCCCCTGTGAGGCCAAGGGCAGCCTCTACCCCTGTCTGAGCTCTACTCCTTTCCTCTCCCACTGTTGGTTTTGTTCATTCTGATTAACACCTTTATCTTCTGACCTCTATGGTTCCCTTTCCTTCCACACCATTCCAGCCAAGGATGGTAGAATCCCAGAAACATGGGTTCAAATCCTGAGTGTCTTTCTCTTCAAGGGACACTGGGAGAGTTCAATTTAACCTCTCTGAGCCTCAGCTGACTTAATTGCGAAGTGAGGGTAATAACAGTACCCATCTCGTGCAAATGGTGTGAGGATTAAATTAGATAAGCCAGGTGCAAGGCAGACCCTAGACACCTATAAAGTGATGTTTATTATCATTGTTATTACACCCCAGTGTTTCTTTTACAACAACATGCATGGGCCCCATCCCCTTGAAAGAATTAGGCAGTCAGATAAGACAAGTCTGCTGTGCTAGAGACCTGATGCATTGCCTGGGGGCTCAAGAAATATTCGTGGAAAGAAGAAAAGGAGGAAGAAAGAAGAGGTAGGGGATGTCCCAGTGCCCCTCCTTTCATGGGACAGAAGGCTGCAGGCTTGGGGAGAGACACAGGACACCCGTGTCACTCATAGAACAGATGGCTCCAGTTCCCTGAGCCCAGTGTTGCACTGCCCTGAGCCATTGCACACACAGCCCTCATTGCTCACTTCCTGACACTTGCACCCACCTCGGGTTGTCAGAAAGGGCGACGATGATAGGTTGCTCTTGGGTGTTTGCCACATAGCGTGTTTCCTGGCGGGGTTGATAAGGGGGACAAAGATGGGGCAGCAGTAGGGTGGAGTGGGAACTGGATACTGCAGAGTGCTGTGAAACGGAACCTCCGGTTAATTTTGTATGAATCCCACAGCCTGCCCAAGTGGAGGAGACAGCAGGGCTAAGGGAGGATGAGAGAGCAGATCATGGGAGACGGCGGTTGCTTTGTGCTGCATGTGAATATGATATTGAATGAGAACATCATGGGGCTGCCGCTGGCTGGGCAGCAGAAGGGTGTGGAAGCAGGGGCAGGGATCTTCCGTGTATTGTTGGCATGTTCTAGTTTTCTCTGTGTTCCATCAGTCCAAGGATCACTGGGCCCCTGAGAGGTTAATGGGGAAACCAGAACAGCCACAGACTCGGTGGAAGCCTGGGCAGGGTCAGGCGTGGACGCTGCCCAGACACAGGGTCCACATAGGGAATTCACTGCCTGGCCAGAG